GCGGCGATGACGCCGACGACGACGGCGCCACGGCGGGCGACGGCGACGGCGCGGCGGACGCACGCATGCCGGCCGCTGAGGAGGGCGAACGCGCCGGCGGCAGCGGCAGCAGCGGCGGCAGCGGCAGCGAGAGCCGTGAGTATCGCGAAAGGGGCCTGGGCAAGCGAAAACCCGTCGATGAGTCGCTGGAATGGCGCCCTGACGGCGAGGAGGGGCGCACCACCTCGAGCAGCGGCGGCAGCAGCGGCGGCAGCGGCAGCGGCAGCGGTAGCGGCGGCGACAGCGACGTGGTGTCGCCGTCGCAGCAGGAGCGGCGGAAGCGGCGGCGGCTGGAGCAGGAGGGGCAGCACCCATCCCCCGCGGCGCGGGAGACGCGCGCCAAGAACCGCCGGCAGCAGAAGACGCTGCAGCAGGGCAGGGCGCCTGCCGCCGCTGCAGGCGCTGACCACGGAGGCGCGGCGGCTGCCGAGGCGGCCGGCGCGGACGGCTGGCGTGATGGCCAGCAGACGGTGGCGGACGCTATGAATGGAGAGGCAGAGGCGGCGGAGGAGCTCGTCAAGAGCAGACCACAGCAGCAGCAGCAGCAGCAGCAGCAGCCGCGGCAGCAGCGGTGGCTACGGCGGGCGGGGCAGCATCGCCAGCGGCGGGGCGAGGGCGGTGGAGGAGGCCCCGAGGGCACCTCCGACGAGGAGAGCGACTCGCAGGGCGGTGAGGGGGCCCGCGGGGGCGTGGATGCGGTGGACCTGGTGTCATCGGGGGCAGACTCTGACGGCGCCGGCGCTCGCATGCAGAGCCAGCAGCAGCAGCAGCAGCAGCAGCAGCAGGAGCAGCCGAAGAAGTTCAGCAGGCGCCGCACCCACGCGCAGCTGCCCACGGAGGTCTTTTCGCAGGGGGACTTTGGGGCCGTGGGCGGCGACAGCGGCGCAGACGACGAGCCAGGGGGCGCAGCCGACGGCGACTCGCCTGGGAGGCGGGCACAGCTTGCAGCCCGGCGGCAGCAGCAACAGCAGCAACAACAGAAACAGCAGAAACAGCAGCAGCAGCAGCAGCAGCAGGAGGAGGGTGATGACGTCACTCTGGAGGAGGAGTCAGCAGAAGAGGAGGAGGAGGAGGAGGAGTATTGGCCGGCGGGCGCACGGCGGCGGCGCGGGGCGGCCGGCGATGCGCGCGCACCAGCCAGGGGCGCCAAGCGGACGAGGTGGGGCGGGGGCGCATCGTCGGGGCTCGGCGTCGGGCGCTCTTGTTCAGCATACAAGGGCGCCTGCACACGCATGTCTGGTTGTGGGTCTGTTGAGAAATGTTGATCTAACAAAGGGTGCGGGCGAGGCAAGATGTTGCCAAGATGTTGCCACCACCAGGGATACCCTTTTCGCCCACCACGTGCGCTAATTACGGACCACCCTCGCCCCGCCTTGCGCCAGGCGGGAGCATTCCCCACCTCCTGGCCCCAGCGCGCCGGCCGCCGCGGGCCCGGCGCAGCGCGGCCGCGCGCGCGCCGGGAAGGGGTCGGGCCAGGTGCGGCGCGCGGGGGCCACGTGGCAGGGCGGCGGCGGGGGCAGCACAACCAGCAGCAGCCATACCGGAGAGGACGAGGAGGAGGATTGCGCGGGGCCGCCGACATCGCAGGTGCGCGCCAGCCGCCGACGACGCCGCTGCGGCGCCCCCGCCCGCTACGTACGTGTGTGCAGCGGGCGGGGCCTTGGACCCCCAGATTTCGCCTGCTGCTACGCTTTGTGGCCGGATGGGTGTCGGAGTCGCCACACGCCGTTGCGTCCCCAGCACCCCGCGCAGCGTGGTCACGCCCGCTAATCTCTTCCCAGGCAGCTCACTAGCACATCTGCCCCATCCCCCACCCCCCACCCCCAGGAGGTGTGCCAGGCGATGGGCGGCGGCAGCGCCCCCGCCGCGGAGGACACCGGCACGCAGCCGCCGGACGACGACTTTGCGTTTGTTGGCGCGGGCGGCAGCGGCGGCGGCGGCAGCGGCGGCGGATTTCTCGTGCAAGCGCCAGGTTACGGGCCCGACGTGGTGGAGGGCAGCGATGACGGGGACGCTGACCTGGACGCTGATCGGGACGAGGCGGTTACGCGCGGGGAGCTGCTGCGGATGCGGGGCGCCTACGAGGGTGGGCAGGGCGATTCCAGGGCGGGGCGGTGGGGGGCGGCACGGCTTGGGACGGCAGCGACAGAGCACTTGGTCCAAGGCCAAGGCCGGGCCGCCTTCTTAGCAATCAGGGATCAGGGGGCACCCTGTTTCCCAGCTGCTGGTTCGATTTCAGCACCCGGGAAGCAAGGTGTCCCCCTGAACCCTCAGGTTGTGGGCGCCTGTTCAGGTGAATCAGATTGCGTGGCGGCCCAGCTGGGCGCTTCGCGGCCCTTGCTCGATGTGTTGCAGTGGCAGCATGTGGGTGCTGGCACCTCCCTGCGCCGCCCGCAGCCGCACGTCTTGGCATCTGCACAAATGGCACCTTCTCCACCAAAACGCGCATTACGCGCGTGGCACGTGCGGCGGACGGCTGAACCGACGCACCCGCACACCCCCGCACGCCCTCCCCCGCAGCGCTGCGCAAGGAGCACGGCGACGCGCTAGACTACCTCCTGCACTCCAAGGGCGTGGCGCCGGCCACGCCCTCCGAGCGCAGGCGCCACACTCGTGTCTGCGCGTTCGGCCAGCAGATCCGCGACGTGCTCGTGAGCAAACTCGGGCCGCTGCTGGCGCCCCAGCGCCGCCTGGGCTTCTTGGGGCCGCCGCCGGCGGGGGCACGGGACACAGAGCAGGAGCGCATGGATTGGCTGCGGGTCGTGGTTTGCTCGCTGGACGATTGCGTGGGCGCCGGCGCGGCGGCAGGCGGCGCGGGGGCGCCGGGGCGGCAGTCGGCGGCTGGCGGTGCGTCGTGGGGCGGCGGCGTCGACAAGCAGCAGCAGCAGCAGCAGCAGCAGCAGCAGCAGCAGCAGCAGCAGCAGCAGCCAGTGGGGCGTGCGCCCGCGCGCGGCGGCAGCCGCAACGCCGGCGGCCGCGTGCCCGGCCGCGGTGCGCGGCAGCGCGCGCCCAGGCGGGCCAAGCC